GAAAATGAACCTAGAGCTACTCGGGCTATAAGTGAAAGCGACTGTCGTGAAGCATAGAGGCTTACTCCTACCCGTTGGTCTCGATGAGTGGCACCGGGTCCCTTTGTACAGGCGAAAATCTTGATAAGTGACTTAGAGAGATTGGATATGGACACCTTGAAGTCGCTGCTCCTTATTTCTATTCTAATGTTCCAACTAAATATTTCGTGAATTTTGCTCCATTCCCCCCGCCATCCAAGAGCTGGTCAGGTGTTTGCTAATTTTCCTCTACAGTCAACGAATGTTGAAGACAATGTTTTGAGTAAAATCCCGTGAAATCATCCCAGTGTGGTTCCACATCTGACCTATTATTAAAGTGGCACTGATAATCATTGTGTCCGAAAGCTACTGATCAACTACTGGAACGAAATTGGATGACATGTCATTTCCTGCGTGTCACGTGCGTCGGAAACTAGTGGAGATGACAGACAGGTACAAATTCTAATGACTCCTGTGATTCTAGGTATTCTCAAAAAGCCGTCATGTCAAAGCACAACAGGAAAACCGGATCAGTGGCAAACAGCGTCACTAATGAACTACGGAAATCTCAGTATTGTCTCAACATGTGGCGAGTGTACTGATTGTTAACAAATCAACTTTGACAGTATTGATTTGTTTTCATATATTGGAGTTGCTGTACTGAGCTTCCACATTCAATACAGTATTTGGTACCACTTTCTGCATAATACGTTCATGTTTAATGCGGAAATAGTTGTACGTTCGTGCAGTTTTCACTGAATAATACAGCAATTAATTTAGGCAGTTTGGTGACTGTTTGAAATAGTGTTAGTTACCCAAGCTAGCACAACGAAATCAGGCTTTTCCCAAATGAACACAAATCATTATCTGAAAAGGGCCTGACTTAGAGACACTTAATGTCCCGGACGAACACCCCCTTCAAAATCTGGCATTCCAATCACCCCCGAATTCAAGACGATCGTGCAGCTAGGTGGATTCATGGTGATGTAATCGAGGTGAAGAAACTTACATTTTCTGACTGCTATACTCGCGAAGGCCTAACAAAGCTGGTGCGTCACTGATCACAAGTCATTGTCCTATAAGGTACCACTCATTTTGGTACTCATGCAAGTCAAATTTACCAGACAATGTGTCAGAGAGGCAACAGGCATTTGCTTGCACAGGGTGCTTAATTCAGTCGACATCGCAGAAATGTTCTCAAAGCATTTATCCCCCAGAAAAATCAGCTGACCATGATTTCTTCCTGATAAAACTTTGATTACGTTAACCATTTACTCACCATTTGTGGGTTGACAGGCGCCCATTCAAAACCCGGAATTCAGTCGGCAGAAATGTTCTCAAAGCATTTATCCCCCAGAAAAATCAGCTGACCATGATTTCTTCCTGATAAAACTTTGATTACGTTACGTTATTACTCACCATTTGTGGGTTGACAGGCGCCCATTCAAAACCCGGTCGTACTAAAGCGGGTAACTCAAAAATAGCGTGAGTTCATCAGCCATCATCATCATCATTGTCAGCTGTAATAACCGCGTACTCGTCGTACACTGGTTGTAGCTGCCGCATTTTCGTTCACCGATGATTTGGGGGGGGGGGGGGGG